GCGCAGGTTGAGGAATCTTTCAAGCGACTTTTGGATCCTCACTAGATGACTAAGCTGGGACCTTACTTCTTCCAATCTAGTTTTTACGACCCCTTGTGGAATACCGTTTCGTAACGACTCACGGCTTCCACGCAATGATCGGAAAGTAAAGGTGCTGGCAAAGGAATTTCCTTCTGCTTTCTACAATCCAATGATCTACCCGCGAATTCTCTGGTCCGGCAAATGTTGGTAAGTCTCTCAATCTTGTCCTGTCCTATGAACACTGCGTTGACTGGATCCCATAAAATATGTACATTCTTGGTAACTACTTGGCCACTCATCAGCCTTTTCAGTTGCCATATGTTTCTTGTTCATACGCTTGTAGGCCTGTACTGACTTTCATTGTTTCCGATTGTAGCGCGTCAGATCAAGTCAAAAAGTAAGATGTCGTCCAGCGTAGCCTTGCATGTTATTTTAGTTTCCTCTTCTCTTTGCCTTCCCATTTCTTTGATGTCCTTAAAGCAACCACCTCCAGTGCGTTTTCGCCGCAATGAGGCTGGACCTTACCGTAATGCGATGGTTTGTGTGCCTCAGCGATCCATTGAGCTATGCTGAGTGGTGCTTTTGCACCTTCAGAATCAATCATACCAGACTGGTCCATGGTTAGAGGCCAGACAAACTCAACCTCCTGGTCCTCCAGGTTGGGGGTTGGAATGAGGGTGGCTCCTTATTCCTTAAAACGGACTCCTTGTAGCCTAACGCCAAACCCGCTGCCTTGCGGTCAGGTTTTTGAACCAAGGGCTTTGGTTGAGAACCCTAATCGTTCTCCTGTCTAGGCCTGGGCAACCTGACAGTATCCTGCCCACGCAATACCATGTATCTTACCTCAAACAAATTGCTGATGCCCTGGCCACTGCAGAGGATAATCAACAGTGCCCCATCTGTTGCATCGAGCAGGGTGGATAGGGGTTTGGATGCTACTGCTCAAGCCTTCACGTTTTCTTATTCCCCCCTCTTACGCTTTTTCACTCTTACCGTCCCCTTCCAACTTCACTTATATCCCCTCTGTTTTCAACCCCCCGATTCTTTGCCCTCCCCCAACATGCTTTGATCGGCATTTATCTTCTAATTTCAACTCATGTGTGAACGCGGAGCGTCACTCCTCTTTTGTCGACAAGCCCATGTCCAACCAAGCGGTCCATTCCAGTTCATCGGCATGCATTTGGAGCCCTCGATCCTCCTTCAGATTGGCATGCCTCAATGTACGCACACTGCTACAAATCGGTCAACATGCGGCACTTGCCCGAACATTAGAGACCCTCTCGATCGATATCTGCTGCTTATCAGAGACCTGCCTTCAAGACTCGAGCTCTGTGCTCACTCTGCGATCCCATTCAGGTGACGCAAACAGTATTTTCTCAGTGCGCCTATCCGGTGACGATGCAGCTTCGAGCACCGGCCAAGCTGGTGCTGGTATTGCCCTGAGTCCCCTGGCTGAAGCTGCTCTGGTTGATTGGATTCCAATCAGTAGCCGGATATGTGCGGTCCGATTGGCTGGCTCGTTTAAAGCTTCGAAGTCGCGCGGGACTAATAGGTGTCTATTCATCATCGCTGCCTACGCACCCACAAACTGTAGCGATGATTCGGTAAAGAACGACTTCTACCGCCAACTGACAGCTCCTTCGCCACAGAAGAAGCACGGACACTTGTGCTGGCGGGGGATATGAATGCACAAGTTGGAAAGTTGTCCACTGATGAAATGCATTTGGGCGGTCAGCACGGTGTAGGCTCCCGCAATGATAACAGTGAGCAGTTACTTCATTTGTGTGAAGATGCTCGCTTATTTCTTGCGAGCACTAATTTCCGACACAGCACCCGCCGGAGGGTGACTTGGCGCCCACCAGCCTCGAACCAGCCTTGGACGCAGATCGATCACATTGCTATTAGTTACCGCTGAAGAGGCTGCATCCAGAACTGTCGCTCGATTTGGAGCACATGTGTGGACACCGACCATGCACTTGTATGTGCTGACATTCGGATGCGCTTTGGCGGACGCCTGCGACGACGCTGTGAGCGCATTGACACCAGCCAACTGACAAAGCTAGCTGTTCTGAATGCGTATCGATGTACGCTGAGATGCGAGTTGAGTAATCGCTCACTGAAGACAATTGGTGGTCACTGGTCACATGTTCGCCAGACCTTACTAGCAGCAGACAAATCCTCATGTGGTATGTCTAATCGCCAACATGGTGATTGGGTCTCTTCTCGGTCTCTGGAACTTATCGACTCTCGCCGGCATATCCCGACTGAAAGCGAGCACAATGAAACTCGCAAAGAGCTCCATGCAAAATTCCGCGCTAGCCTGAAGAGAGACCGCGAATCTTGGTGGTCTCATCCTACCGAAGTCCTCGGAGCTCTTAACCGGACGCATACTACACCGATACAGGTGTGTGACCTGCACCTCTCTCCTTATCACTGAGTTCATTTCTGTCCCACCGCATTTCATTATTTGTTGTCAGACACGTTGGAATAGTGCTTCCTTTCATATCGACACATCGGCTCTACTTCCGTTCCTAATAGCCCTCTCCGCTCAGATGGACGGCAAGCTATTTCGGCTTGTTTGTGATCACTCGCAGAGGCAGAACTTGAATATAAAAACCAATGGTATATGTATAGATATGCTTGTAAAGTAATGTTATGCATCTTTAACACTGTTTCACTGCTCACAAGTCGACGTTTTAGTAAAGGCATAATCTTAGTCAGCACAAGTGACCGTTTTTTATGCTCGTGACCGTGCGTCCTAGTTAGACACATTTTGGACGAATTTTGGTCCCACACAATGCTTTCGGTTTGGCGTCACGCTCTCAATACTGCGCAATTAAAATTTTGGGAATAGATTTCCGTTTATTGTTGACAACATTTGCAACCAGATTAAAAGCATTTACGGTATATGTTAAAATTGCACTAGAACATTTTCTGAGTAACCGAAATTCGTCCTAAGTATCTCCAACTGGTTCGGTCAGGGCGTAAGAAGCGATCACTCAGGGCACTCCAACGGTCACTTCAGCAGAGATTTTGGCTATCCGTGCTATGCAGGAGGACCATTCTACGTTGCAACAACGTTACAGCAACTGGTACATGGAGTCTAACATGGATATCCTTGTTAAAGCGATACTCAGGCACTCCAGAATATCTCCGTCCTTATCGGTGAATTCGGTATATGAATGTTCTCATGTTATTTTTTCATGCGAGGCTGCATTCCGAGACCATTCCACTTGGTGTCCTGGGCGAATCGCAATGCGACATCGAGAATTCAGCATTATAAACTGGTACAAATTTTGCACCAGACTGTACCATCTTTCAAAATGAACCTCCTGTCCTTGTTTTAGCCATTACGGACAAGACTTTCTGTCGGCTTTGAAGCCCCTACTGAAACCTACGCTCAACTGGAGGCGCATCAACTCTGTCCGTATACCACCCATTGATTGCCTTTACATACTCAGGTAAGCATTAACACAGTGCTTGTTGCTCAGAATGCGGTAGAAAAAATAAAAGGCATTAGCAGTACGCCGGTATGCAGTACCGACGCTTCACTGCCGCGCAACAACCGGTCGCACGTGGGCTAAGGATACTGCGAGGGTCGCCCTACCCCTACTCAGGCTCGAACGCACGCCGTCAGACTTCAAGGTCGGCTCGTTACACTTTAGGCTATGGGCCATAGAGTTCTTGTTTCTACGCTTGTGCACTGGCATTGACTTCGTTTGTTGCCCATACGGTTCTTTGTCATGTATAGTAATGCATGGATGCGGTGGCTGAACCAGGCGTGCCACATTGTTTCTTTTGGGGATTTACAGCACCATTTCCTCTCAAATGAGGTTCCAATTCAAACGGAGAACACCTCTAAACATTTTGCTTCCTACCCCGGCTACAGCCTTTCACTAGCTCAAGACACATTGCTTATGTTCCTATTTACGGCAGGGACTCAACATACTCTTACAACTTTTCCTGTTGTCCACTGCCGATATGGATCGGACCGACCCATAGTTCGAATTTGGCCTCGGTCAGATTCTCTCGACTTCCTGGTTGGGGCCCGAAATTTGAGGAACACTTTTGGCTGGATACATGTGTTGACATATCTAGGAACCGACCTCATTGGTGTTTATCTTCTGAGTTTATTTGTCCCTTCTACCCCCGCCTAGCTTCCTCTCCAATCACGATCTTATTTCCCACACATGCTATTCTTTTTTGCAGCACAGTAGCCGGCTGTTAGCTCTTCAGAGCAATTTGGTGGCTCAAATGACGTGCCTCCGTCGCAGTTTTTCCTTTTTTATGTATTGCGGCATAACAGCTGTGTTTTTCATCTTTAGTCAACGTGTATAATGTATGAATGATGGATTGCATCTCAGTATACGACCATTCTTTGCTTGACTTCACCCTACCGACTTTTACTTTTGGACCATCATCTCCTGCGAAGCCCCATCTACCTTAAAGGCCAACTTGACTCCAGACTGGCGGTGGAACCCTCCTCAGATTTCCTGTTCAACTTGGCCTAGAACCGTCAAATACTCAAGTTCAAGCTCAGTTGGGCGTCGTGGACGACACTTGTTCGTTGGGGGATATTGTAGCGAAATCCTTCAATCATCCCCCAATTCTACCGGCGTCGCATTAGCTGGATCCCATAAAACATTCTTGGTAACTGTTTAACCACTTATTAACCTTTTACTACTGCCATATATTTCTTTTTTACCGTTATGTACACTCGTGCTGACTTTGGTTGTTTCCGATACATTTGTGTAACGTGCACTTTTCTCCTTCTCATGGAATTTACTTATGACCCATTGCGTCTTACCATTCGTTATGTGATAACCGTTGGAATCCTGTATCCCTTCATTTTAGCACTTTGGATCTACCTCTGTTTCTACTAGGACCGTTGCACGCTAAAGGAGATGGCGTACGCGTTGTTCATTCTACTACTTCCCTTACTGCACCACCTTTCGTCAGCTGATTCAGACACAACTTCAATGATAGTCACTTACGAAGATTCAGGTGTTGTGCACTTCCGTTTTATTGACGGTATTAACATCGAATGCTCAAATGAAATATATTTAATGCTCCGCAGCTTCACATTTGAGGAATCAGTCCCTTAATTTCCCGATTCTGACCATTGCTGCCTTCCAAAACTTGATAAACGATACGGGGTATGTTTAATGAATGTATTCAGGCGTATATACATTATCTGTTATCCTGCTTTCGACTGTCATCAAACCTGCTCTTCCTAGATGGTCAAGTTTGCAAGTAACGACATCACAGAAGTTCGCTGATCATTATCAAGCATATTGGGCTGGCTTTCTCGAAGCTAACATCACACGGAGCCTTACAGAGGCCCATTGGCTTAACACGGTGGCAGGTAAATTTCAGTTTCACACGATCATTCTCTAGAGATGTGTCAGGAACCTCTGTCAGTTGAGTGTAAAAAGCTGAAGAAATATCTATCAGCGAATGTAAGATATGTAATCGAACAATTTTTTCGATCTGGTAGAACAGATGAATTTTGGTACCAGGTTAGTTGACCTGCTTTGCCATCTTGTCATTTGCAGTTTGCCCGCATGCTTAGCTGGCTCTATCCGTATTTTAATTAGAAGCAGTTGTTTTACGCTTTATAAAACATTAAATTCGTTCTAATTGCCGTTGTTACATTCATAGTCTTATGCTTTACGTTGTGTCCGATATTCACACAATTACAGCGAAATATATAACCGTAAACAATACGTTGTGGTTCCTTAGGGGGGGGGGGTTCTAACATGCAAACGTCCAGGTTGGAGTCAAGGGAAACCGATGTTTCAAAATGAAGGTGTACACGATGCCTACGATTATCACATAGCGAATAATAAAACACACTGAGTCGGGTTGAACTCGTTGGGAACGAGAACAGCACGTCACAAATGTGTATCGGCAATCCCCAAAGTCAGTTATGGTGGTACAAGCATATCAAACAAGGAAAATATGGCAACTGAAAAACGGGTTACTAAGTGGCTAATACAGTTACTAAGGATGATTTGTGGATCCGATTCCATAACGCGCCAGTGGGACTACATATATAACAGCAATTATCTAAGCTTTAGACAGAGCCATGGAAAATTATTGAATAGATGTTATTAATAAGTGCAAAGGTCACAGAGCGGAAAATTCAAAAGAGGGTTTTTTGTGTTTTTCATAAGCCACTATGTCCTTTTATCATTTTAGTGATTGCGGCATTGATCCGTAGGCTTAATGCATCAATTCATTGCAAACATTTCATTGTTCCTGATTCAGCATCATGGCCACAATGGTTTCCAACCAGCGGTGTTTTTCATCCTATTCTTCCCAGCGCGGATGACATATGAGACCGACAAAAGCTTGTCTGGTAATCAGCACCTTTGTCGCCATGTGGCAAGTTGACCACCGCATGATTTCTTCCAGTGCAGCCCCGCGCGGGCTAATAGAACGCGCCTTGTTAAACGCTCGCACGCTGTGCGTAGGACGTATATTAGCCATCTCAGTTAGCGCAGTGGTATTTGCTTGTCGAGAGGAAGATCTGTATTATCTATAACGTCTAACATCGTCGTTGCAAACTTATGCTGTCCTCTACAGGCAAACTTAGTTAAATACCGAAATCCGACGCGCATCGTTTACAGGAAACCGCCAGGATTCACTTCCACACAACGGTACCACATAAATGCAAACATAGTAAACCCTACTCTTTAGCGAACGTGATATGTCACGACGACACCACAGATACCCGAACTTAGCGAAAGTTGATCGGGCTTTGGCTATTCGGGGATAAATCTCTCTTGCAATAATGCCATCAGCAGAAACGCAGCTCCTCAGGTAGACGAAGCTATCTAGTACTTCAGGCTACGTACCTTCACTTATCAGCACTGAGGTAGGTGGATGCCAATTCTTGAGCGGTACTCTGCATTTAATGTGCTCACAGGTCATGCTATACTTGGGAGCTTCAATCGCCAAGCGGTTTAGGATGACCCGCATCTTCTGAGAGTCGTCCTCGAGCAAGGCACTGTCATCGTCATTCTTCAAGTTAATTGTAAGGTTGCCTAGTAGGTCTGCGGTATAACTCCGGAGACTTTCCAGAGCGCTCAATAGGACATCTTCAGTCACAAACTTGAAGAGAGACGAGGACATGGGACAGCCTGATGTACAACGCTAGTGACGGCGCAGGGTGAAGAGAGGTTACAATAAACCGTCGCTCCACTCGGAGCATTACAGTTTGATGCCCGAAGGATTGTAGTATACTTTTCATGTGCCCTCTTATCTTACAGACAATGTCATGAAACAGACCGATCGACGAAGTCGAACGCGGCTCGTATATTTAAGAGGGCGAGTATGCCAGGATGGCGGTAGTGGTGGCGCTGTTCGGTACGTTTGCGGAGCCTAAACATGTGGTTCACACACCCTCGATCAAATTAGAAACCAGCCTGTTCTTCACGGTAGTGTTGTTCTCAAATCGCTACTGATCTGTGGAGTAGGACGGATTTTAATCATTTAGAGACAAAGGATAATAGACAGATTCCTCTGTGGTTGTTGCGCAGGGCACGGATATCATTGAACATCGCGACGATCATCGACTCGCTTTAAGAATATAAATGCTTTTCTTCACACCAAATCTTGGATAACGGGGCGATTAACTGGTTGACAATTGCCTCGCTGCCGTACTTGAACAGCTCCGGAGGAAGTCCGTCTGAGCCAGAAACCTTGAATCATTTTAAGTGATGAAGTTTGTGGCAGACCTCTGCTTTGGTAGATGGTTCAATTGAAACGTTCCAAGGCGCGCAATTGAGCATATACTTGTTAGGCAGGCGCGAAGAGGAGGCCAACTGAATTGAAAAAAATAAATCACCAGCTGTACGCCGTAACGGTGTTTCACTACCACGCGATCACCACCAGTCACGCGTGGGCTGAGTACACTGCTAGGACACCTACCCCTACGCGGATTCGAGCCGGCTATCTTTTGGTTGCAAACCAAGCGTCTAGACCACTCGACCACAGGCCAGATTGAGAATGGAACTTCTCAACCCAACGGTCCATGCGCCAATGCAAATGGCTTCACTGGCGCCAGACCTTCTGTGGCCACTGATCTGAATTGTCTGGAAAAGCTTGTGCAAGTTTCCAGAGAGGACTGCTCTCTCCTGAAGCTCACTGAGACTACCAAGTTTCGCGACCTTTACGCAATCTTTACTTGAGTTGCTGGCTGAGACTGCGGTGGATTTTACCCCTGTTCAAATCAGCTAGCATATCTCGGTGAAGGTCAAACAATTCCGGAGATCGAGCGTAGATCCATTCTTTTAGTGAGCGCCCAGTGATTCCACCATATTATTGAACGGAAGAAAGGAACGCTTTCTGCAGAAAGCTCCAAAGGTGTTCGACGTTTAGAGATGGAACAGTAGCGAACGCATCTGACAAGGAAGATTGAGAAGCCAGTCGGTGCATCTAGCGGTCTTGGGTCATGTTGAGCAAGAAACCATTCAAGACTGTTCCACCGCCCGTCGGGAACAAAATCGGCCTTTACTCTAGATGAGGCATGGTAATTAATGATTGTCCAAAGGCAATAACGGTAGGGGTGAAGCGGAGCAAAAGCTGCTTTTACAGCCAAATCTTGTATATAAACAGAGGTAGTGAAAGTGGATACGATATCTGAAAGCAGCGGGCAGAAGGAAGTGTCATACACATTTTGTCTGGTCCATGCCGTGGACGACGAACACACCATTGCTGTGCGTATAGCTAGTAAAAGGTCTTGGCTTGCGAATGTAGCAAAGCATCTGAGGGAGCTCTCCGATTGACCGCTCCCTGAGGTCAGAGCACGCGATTTGGTAAGTGGGAGCGTTGATTGGTCTAGATGGCAATAGGAATGACATGAAGGGAGTAATGCTACACGCACGCTAAATGTTATACCAGCAGGGGACAATGAGTACTCTCATGGATTATTCCGGTATTATGAGACAGCCGCGCTGAATGACGGTGAAAGGGAGTCGGTAGCAATATCTGAGAGGCATACCTCCTGCACGGAGGCATGCAGGAAAGGTGGCGTAACATGAACATATGAAACCACGAAGGTCCCATTGTCGGCAAAGTGAAGTACGTAGGCCTCAAAAATTAATAATATCTGCGACTCCCATGGCCTTATTTGTTTCCGCTTCCGCTGATGGTAATTGGAGTCCCAGACATCCGTGGATTTTGCTTGAGTCGAGCCCTGCTGGGTTAGGGCAAGATACGTCGGTGAGCGCTCTTATAGAGCAGATGAAGCAAAATGACAGTTGACAATAGACAGCAGGCGCGGTGTTCGGCTGTTCCAAAGCTGGAAAAACTTGGTAAAGCTCTTTTCCAAACTAGCTTCTCGGGTTCGTCTGTAGAGCAATTAACTGCAGCAAAACCGTTCTTTACCAAACCGTCGAGGTGCAAAATAACGTACCAGCTGTTGAGCCGTGCTGGAACGAAGTCACAGTTAATGTCCATTGACCCCTTTCCATACGGCCATGTCCATGCAAACGATGGAGGAGAACACACAAGAGAAGAGGGGATCCTACCTCCGTCTCCATATATGTGACTTGCAACGGTCCAAGTAGGAGTAAACTAAATCCGATTTGCTACAAGTTTAGGAATACACGATACCAGCGGTTACCACACGACGAACAGTAAGACCCAGTGGATCGGAGTCGAACTCATTGGGAACAAGAACAGCACGTCACAAACGTGTATCGGCAGGCTTCAAACTCAGTCCTGATGATACAAGCATATAAAAAAGCAATATCTAACAATTACAAAAGGGATTAATAAGTGGCTACAACAGTTACCATGGCTGTTTTCTAGGAGCTGACCTTGTACAACACCGGTGGGACTGGGGGATTATTGATATTTCGATACAGTTTAATGATTCTCAGGCGGGTGGTGAATTTTTTTTACTTTAACTTAAAGTACAACAGACATTGAATATCTTTTAGCGTAATTGCATTTTCGATATTTGCATCTCTACTGTGAACAGTGTTTTTTACATACAAACCCATCATTCATGGTAATATGTATGGCTAAAATTAGCCTCCAACCCACAAAGCTCCTTATACACGCTTGCCTAGAGAAGATAACAGCTTGCATTTTTGAAACACAAAATAACCATTTGTAAAGCAGTTCGCTTAACGTGAGCTGTATCTATCCACTTTATCTAGGATGCCTTGACTCCTTGCTTGGGTTCTCCACGAATGTCGTAATTTTTGCATGGTATAAGTTATCAGCTTCGTTTAACCTTCGTTTAACCTGAGAGCATTTTCGCGAGTCTTGATTACAATGTTGGATTCTGACAAACATCTGTTCTTGCCACTACACTTTCTACTTAGAATTACTAAGCTAAACACCATCTGTAAAGTTACATTGTTTTGATGGAAGTGTTTTGCGTTAGAAACATGAAATGAGCCACATGAGCTTCAATTGCCGCGACCAAGCTACTTCAGATTGGTACGTTAGACGACTGATGTAGTTGTTCAATAGATCTATCTAATGTAGCGACATTTGTATG